ATATGTATATGTATATGTATATATCTCTGTGTCTGTGGAAGCAACAGTCAAGAATGAGAGAGCTTGCAACATTGCTACAACCACGAGGCTTTGCATAGTGGCCTACTCTTTCAGGGACGGGCATAGGCGAAGACCGGTGTGTTGTCGTCTCGTCGACTTTAACTTGGTGCATGATTTCGAGTGCTCAAGGGGAAGGAAGGATTGCCGCATCGAAGCGCACACGGCGGCTGTCGTCCCTACGCTCGAGGCCCCACATCATGGCCGTATGGCAAAATAGTTAGCTCTCAGTAAGTGCGACTGGAGGAGCGGACTGTCCGCCCGATGTCGTCAGAAGGGCTCAAAACAGATCAAAACAGACCCGGCGAAGAAAGTCTTGCGATAGAAGCCGGCACCTCTTCTGGGAAGTGCTCGTCATCGCCAGAACTAACACTCACGTCCATGAGCTTCTCGAAGATGTCGTCGGAGATGCTGCCTTGAGCATCTCCGAAGTCCTGCTGCTTCTTCTCAGTCGGTCAAGGTCTCGAAATTAGGACTACCTGACCACCAATGACTACTATTAACTATTCTCGTCACTCGCACTGGTTCTGCTATGGCCATTGCTACAACCCTCAACTGTGGCTGCTACTGCTGCTGCTTGTGCTCGTGCTTCTGCCCCTGCCTCTGCTACTGCTTCTGCTCCTCCTCCTCCTCCTGCTGCTGCTGCTAAAACCACGTACATCACCATCTTCGTGAAGACTTTTAGACTCGAACTTAGTCATATTGTCTGTGATGCTCGTAGGACCACTTGCCAAACTATTTACACACCTGGCAGTGCTCACTTCCCGAAGTGCCTCGTTGGTGGCTTGGGGTGTCAGCATCAGCGGCGCGCATCGCTGCCGCTTGCGATCCTTCTTTTCGTCCTTTTGCTTGTTTGCCTTTTTGTGCTTTTTCCGCGTCTTCTTCCTGGCCTTGATACCAGATTCTTTCTGCTTGTCGCGAGCCGCCCGCTTTCCCGCCTGCAGGCACCAGGTCAGCGAAGACCGCTGTGCGACAAACTTAGAAGCATGCATGCATGCACTCGCCACCGTGGTTTGACACTTCACCGTTTCTGCCCGCACGATGATCACAGAGCAACATGGGCAGTCTAGAAGGCTCCAGCCCAGACCTCTGTCTCATTTTGCAGCGGCTGAGTCGGTGGAAAGGGGGCCCCTTTGCTCTCCTCGCCGGATGCAACAGCTTGAGTACACTTACACAAGCCCATCCTTGCAAAGCCAGAGCCCCAACAACCTCTGAGCCAAGCTCAGATGCCATCTAGAGCGAGACCCCATCTACCCACCCCGGCACCAGACGGGAGCAATGACAGACATCACTCTTACTCACTTCCGTCTTTTGTTAAACTCCTCACTAAACAAGATTCCGAAGCAAGAGCAGGGGCAAGAGCAAGAGCTGTGGCAGGAGCAGGAACACTAGCAAGACGGCGCAAAAGCACAGTAGAGATAAAACCTCACACTAATATTAATACGTTCCGGGTTTTGACTGCCCCCGCTGAATATATTAGGGAGAAGCGATTCTACGCAATCAGCATGATGGTGGTCATGTCCTGTGCTCTGGCTATAAGTTTTGCTATAAGGGTAGTTCTCTAAATTAGGGTCCCTTTTTCGGTCCCCAATATAGCACGGCACCCGCATAAACAAGGACCCAAACAAAAACCCGAATTCAGAGAACTACCCATATTGTTAGCAAGAGGAAGGCGAGCAACAACACCTACCCTACAGATCTTGAGACGAATGATGAGAATACTGGCGAGGAATGACAATTTTGGCATGTAAGTCATGCGCGGCATCGCTCAGTCAGGGCTGTGGAATAGTCGCAAAGAGCCTGCATCAAAACAAGACTTGTGATAACGGCGATCGGCATGCCGACCATGTGATAGCCACCCTAGTGCCCCAGTAACAACCGGTAATGCTAACTATGATGCTAGCTGGCTAAATGACCGCAGTGAATCCACTGGCATGAATCGTGCCAAAAAGTGCTGAACATGTTGATGTTAATTAACATGGCTTAGTTAGTGTCGGAGTATTCGTGTGGAGAGGCCCACTTTCACAGATTCAGTCTCTCCTGCTTACCACACAACCACTTGACAGAGTCTCTTTCGGGTTCATGATGGCAGCTCCGAAGTCAGAGCCCCTGACGTTTGCAGCGCAGATGCATCATCCAAATCGACCGAAGCTACGGCAATTTTTAAAATTTGTGTGGAGGCTTTCCTGTCCTTCTGGCTGAGGGCTCCCTGTCCGTGTGCCTAGCAGATGAAACACGGCATCGAGAGGAAGACTGCCGCATCGTCCCACCCCCCTCGCTAAACACACAAGGCTCCTGGCCACCGGTCGACTCAGCCAAGAGCGCCACAGGATCGCAGGAGCCAGGGTCGTTCTTTGCCTTGAAGGGCTTGGGGAAGAAGATAGCAGGAAGAAGCGGTCGGAAGTCTGGATGAGGGGTTCTGGAGCTTCGGGCCAAGGCTTGCCAGACAGGGAACCCTTCTTGCAGGGATGGCCGGGGATAACTTGCAAAGCGTCCAGGCCGTTCTCATCATGAGGATTACTTACTCTCATCCTATTCCCGATACTATTGACTTCTGGTCGTTATTGCGAGCACTGCCATTAGCAGTCAGGAGCAGAAACAGATGTGGGATCAACCCGCACCCGATCCCTGCCATGTTGCCAAACCAACACCGAAGCCGCTACAATCTGCTGGTGGTTGCCGGGCTTGCCGCGGGTTGTGGTTGCTGCTGTGCATGTACTTCTGCTGCTGCTAGGACTAGTTGACTACTACTACTACTACTACTACTACTACTACTCCTGCTACTACTACTACTACTACTACTACTCCTGTTACTACTACTACTACGACGACTACTACTAGCTACTACTACTACTACT